GTCCATTTAACTTGGCTTCAATGCTGGTCCATCTACATATCCTGCTGAACCAGTTCCTGCTACATTGGAGATGACACCTTTCGAATCAATCTTTCGAATAGTGTGACTGCCCTTATCACTGATGAAAACTTCACCACTTGTTGAGATTGCTATTCCTTCTGGGCTTGACAATCTAGCTGCAGTAGCTGGATATCCATCTCCAGAGCTATAAGCTTGTGAACCAGCAAAAGATGAAATAAGCTTATTAGAATCGGTTAGTTTCTTAATTCCAATAGTGGTACCAATGTAAATATCACTTGAGGATTCTGATTGAGTAACTGAAATGGGAGTATAAAGCGAAGTTAAATTTCCCAATTTTCCATCAGTGTCCAATTCGATAATTCCAGTTCCAGCCACACGGTCAACCAATGAATTTCCATAATTAGCAACTGAATTAAGTTTTAAAACAACTCCAACTGAACTATCCACTACCAACAATTCATCTCTTTTAGAATTATAAAATGTAGATACTGGATTCAAAAGTGAAATATTCGAAACATTTCCTGAAAGTACTTGATATCTTATTGAGCCATCTCCTGCAACTGTATTAATATTTCCAAGCACCAAGTCGATTTTTCTAATTCTATAGTCAGCAAAATCTGAAACATATAAACTATTTCCATAAAGAGCTAATCCAGATGGATAGGTAAAACGAGCATTGAGAGCACTACCTCCATCTCCGCTGAATCCAACAACTCCTGCATTGTTGGCAATGACAGTTTTAACACCATTAGAAATTTTGATAACTTGACCTTTTGTCAAGCTGAGAGCAAATAAATTACCATTCGAATCAAAAACAATCGCTCCAGGAGAAACAATAGAGACGTAGGTCAATAATGTTCCATTACTTGCCACGTAACGAATCACATTATTATTTATATCTTAACAATATTAGAAATAGTTTCGAATAAAACTTACCAGAGAAGTACATCTCACCTTTTAAAAATTAGAAATACTGTCAGTGTGTAGAATAAACTTACCTGTTACTGGATGAAAAGCAATTCCATATGCAGTTTTAATACTAGCAGTGACAGCTGGCGTGCCATCTGGACTATTTCCAAGTTGTCCATTTCCAACAACATTATAAAAGGTATCATTCACAATCTTTCTAATATTATTGTTATCACAAATGAAAATTTCATCTTTTGGCGAAACTGCAATACACACAGGATAGGATAATCTAGCCGAAAGTGCAGGAACGCCACTTGTCGTCAAAGATCCACCTCCTGCTATTGTAATCATATTGAACTCATTAATAGTTGAGTTGAAAAAAACCTTCTTCACTCTATTCATCAATCCACACTACCAGATAAGCTTCAATCACCCAAGCAAAAACTGGTGTACCGCCACTGGTTTCAGTCTGTGTTAACTTTTCCGCCACTTACTTCGGATACATCCCCACATCAGTCCGCCATAGGCAATAAGCAAGAATCGCTACACTAGTTTTTAATAGCTTACCTGGTAGTGGTAATGAAAACTTCACCTTTCGAATTGATTGCTACTCCATATGGATTAGTCAGAGAATCATTGGCGAAAGCCAAACTATCTGAACCAACACCTGCTTGGTAATTTGGTGCTCCAGCAAAATAATGTGAAATTCCATACCCGATTCTGCATAATAAATATTACCGTTTTTCTTGTCAACTGCCAATCCATAAGGTCTATACATTCCAACATTGGTTGCCTTCATGCCATCTCCAATTTGTCCTCCCAATATAGTTTCAAGAGAATACTCAACTGGTCTACTCTTTTGTGCATGAACTAGAAATAAATGAGCGATTAGTTGGAGCGATAATAACATCAGCACCACCAATAATTGAACAAGTGTTGAACGAAATAACATATTGGAAGTAGTGGTTGTTGACTTTCGACTTTTAAACTTTTTTTTTTTCTTCGCTACTAGTAGGAAACGATTAAAACTAAACTTGGTGTGTGTGAAATTGAGAGATATGTTCCAGTACAGAAAAAGTGTTGGGTTGGAATGGGAAACCATGTCCTGGAAAAGAAGTATCAACACTATGCGTTGAAACACGGTAAGATATTGCAAACTCAATGAAGAAGGGCTTTTTTATCTAACGTCAGCAAAAAGTCAAAACTCAATTGTTAGTACATAATCACTTTCTTTTTTACTAACATTTTTTTCGTAGCCAGTGGTACTTGGTAGTATATATTACAATGCTTCATGAATGCCTTTTGCAATAATATTTCCATCAAGAAATTAGTTAAGGATATTCATTTCCTTAGTAGAGATGGTAATGGACTGTACGCTTTTGTAATGTAGAAAGGAAGATTCATCAACAACATTTTACCAACAGCCAGTCAGCACAATACAACGTGGCTTTGTACTTCGCGAAAGGAAGTGATGAAAAAAACAAAAGAAAAAGAAGGCGGGAAAAAAATCCTTGAAACCTCACTCCTTACCATTATTAAACATTGTTCGTTATCATCACGCTACATCAAAGCTGGTAAAGTATCGGAGTGAATGAACAATATGCAGGCTTCTGTTTAGTTTCTTGCCAGCCATGTTCTTCATTCCTGTTGCTAAAGTGGTATTATTAACAAGTTGTCAAATTCACCTTTCAACCTTTGAATTTTGTTTTTTCCGTTCAGATTACAATTAAAAAAATGTCTTCACTTGCTACCAGTGCGCAACTGTATTCTCCTGAGAGTGTTTTTGTTTCATCAAATAATGAAGTTTATATTGCTGATTATGGTAATCATAGAATTAGAAAAATATTAGAAAATGGAAATATTGTAACAATTGCTGGAAATGGAACTGCTGGATTCAGTGGTGATAATGGTATTGCAACAAAAGCACAACTGAATGGTCCTGTTGGTGTTTTTGTTTCATCAAATAATGAAGTTTATATTGCTGATTATGATAATCATAGAATTAGAAAAATATTAGAAAATGGAAATATTGTAATAATTGCTGGAAAGGGAACTGCTGGATTCAGTGGTGACAATGGTCTTGCAACAAAAGAAAAACTGAATTTTCCTAGATGTGTTTTTGTTTCATCAAATAATGAAGTTTATATTGCTGATCAAATTAATCATAGAATTAGAAAAATATTAGAAAATGGAAATATTGTAACAATTGCTGGAAATGGACCTTATGGATTTTGTGGCGATAATGGTCTTGCAACAAATGCACAACTGAATAGTCCTGCTGGTGTTTTTGTTTCATCAAATAATGAAATTTATATTGCTGATTATGATAATCATAGAATTAGAAAAATATTAGAAAATGGAAATATTGTAACAATTGCTGGAAAGGGAACTGCTGGATTCAGTGGTGACAATGGTCTTGCAACAAAAGAAAAACTGAATTTTCCTAGATGTGTTTTTGTTTCATCAAATAATGAAGTTTATATTGCTGATCAAATTAATCATAGAATTAGAAAAATATTAGAAAATGGAAATATTGTAACAATTGCTGGAAATGGACCTTATGGATTTTGTGGCGATAATGGTCTTGCAACAAATGCACAACTGAATAGTCCTGCTGGTGTTTTTGTTTCATCAAATAATGAAATTTATATTGCTGAGTATGGTAATCATAGAATTAGAAAAATATTAGAAAATGGAAATATTGTAACAGTTGCTGGAAATGGAACTGCTGGATTCAGTGGTGATTCACCTTTTGATATTAGAATGTATCCTCATTTTGGAAATAGTAGCTTGTATTCTAAAATAGAATTTCATAACTTGAAAAAACATTCAAGAGATGAATTATTTGGATTGCCAATTTATGGATTCATTCCACTCATTGACAAAATTTCACCAAAATTTTGTGGCATTTTGAATAATGAAAAGATACTTTGTTTGATGAGTTCATCACAACAAGAAATTATTCAAAAATTAATTGATTCTTTGATATATGATAAGAATAAGGTAAAGTTTAACAAAGAAGAAATGTTGGATGTTTTATTCATTTTGGGTTTATTCAAGAATGGTGAATTTATTGATTTGAAAAGATCATTGACAAGTGAATTTGTGAACTCACTCACATTAGAAAATCTTACTTTCAAATGGGAAACAATTGAAAATTTACTCAAAATTTGCAATGAGGAATTCAATGTTCAAAATTACATTCTTGATCATTTGAATAACTATTGTATTGAATATGCTGTTGTTCAAATGAGGACCAAAAAAGGAAACACTTTATTACCAACTCTTCCAATAATTATGAGAAATGCTACTGCCATTTTTTCAAAAATGATCATTACTCAACCAACTGCAATTAATATTGAGGAAACAATTGAAACTGAGCCACAAATAATTGAATCATTATATAATGACAAGAAAACAAGTGATGTAAAAATCAAAATGGGACAAGACAAATACTTATATTGTCACAAAACTATATTGACTTCATTTAGCACATTGTTTAATGCATTATTTGACAGTGGATCTTGTTTCAGTGATTTGAGTGATGATGGAATATTCACACCTGACGAATCAGAAGATTTAGAATTATTGGAAATTGTGATCAAATATTGTTATGGAATTTCAATTGACATTGATGATGTTAAAATTATTGGATTACTTGAAATGGTAACGAAACATGAAATTCAATATGTAATCGATTATTGCAAGAATAACTTTAATCTATCCATTGATAATTACTTTAATATGCTTAAAGCATGTGAAAAATATCTTGATCATCCAATATTTGAGCAATTTATGGGAGAGATTGTCACATTTAGCATGGTCAATGGAAAACAACTTTTCAGAGATCGCACCGAAATTTCCAAATTACCTGAAAAAGTTTGGCAAGAAATATTCTTCAAGTTTTCACAGGACTTTTGAGCTTATTTTGGATAGATATTATTACAACTTAATTTTGCAGAACATTCTATATTAAAACATTTCTTTTATTTACAACATAATCTGTTAGAATACACCACCAATCAGACCAAGAAACCTCAGCCCCAAACGCACAGTCTTGGACTTTGCGCATACATGAAAGGCTTCAATTAAAATTCCTGGTCTGCTCGGTATTATTATTATACATGTTGCTAGCCTTGTCGACGAATGGAAAACCAAGTACTGGTCCTCCTCCATCTCGTGCTAATGTTGTTCTTGTTAAAGTTGTTATTAAATGTCTACTATCGGCTGGATATTGTTGATGATGATGAACATGATCATTATGATGATGGCCGTGTTCAGGATGTTGATCAGAATTAATACGAGTTGTGATGGAGTGTAAAGTTAGGTTATTGTTGTTATTATTCTCAACATGGTTGCATGAAAGGAAAAGAAGGCGGTCTAAATCTTTATCTATTTGTTCAAAGTTTGGTGAATGAGCAGTGTTGTTGTTGGTCGCTGCCATGATGTTGTTAATATGATTACAGCTTAGCGTGGTTAAAAGCTAAAAGGAAAGTTTTGTTTTTTTTGTTTTTGAAATTTATTTTTAATTTTGTAAAACTTTCGTCTCATTTCTTTCTCCAAAATCTTGCATAACATTCCTCAAAGTATTGTTTTGAAAATAAGACATAGGTCATTCCCCACAATGAAAATCCAATCACATAACTTCCAATTCGATGTTTAAACAAAATTGTCCACAAATTCTCAAAAACATAAAGTTCAGTCGCAAATCCAAATTCTGAAATCATTTCGTATAACAAATACGAAATGGACACAATTAACAGTAATAAATATTGTGAAAATTTGAATCTCATCACATTAATCTTTCTATATTTGGATAAGAGAAGATAAATTTTCATTGAATATCCAAAGAGAATTGACCATGAAATTATTAAGGCAATTAATGTCAAAATTAGACAAATGACACGTATGTAGTTTTGAATTTCAATTGGGACAATGGTTGAGCATAGACAAGCAACTGTCAAAATGAATAAGCTACTGCAAACTATAAAGACAGTAACCAATCCGACAAGTGACATTTTCTTCTTTTCATCTGACATTTTCAGTAATATTTCATAAA